GTTACAATCATCCGGGTTTAAATAGCGCACAAATTTGGTATATCAAAAAGTGTATATTTTTTTTAATGTGATTGTTGGTACATTTTACCAGTTTTTACTATACTTTCAAAACAAATAATTGAAGACAAAATGTGTTTTACTGAGAAAAAACAAAATTTGGTTTTTAAAAAGCCTTTTTCCAAAAGGTACATCTGGAAAAAGGGGGGGTCGTCTTATAATCAGGGTCGTCTTATATTCGGGCCAATACGGTAGATATTGCCAATATTTCGATAGGTTTTTCAATAAATATTACAAACCAATAAAATATTTCAGTACAAACAATCAGGTCATGTTGATTTTCTTTAATGAATAAATAATTTTTACTTATATGCGTCAAAGTAGCACTACAAAGCAATATATAGTGATTGCACTATGGAATTGTTGTGATGAACAGAATTATTGAAATGGGAATTCAATGTTCTTTTAATTTAGAAAGAATGTTGTGTATATATATTAAATGTATATATATTAAATGTTTTAAAATATGCAACATATCCCCCAGGCCTAATACACACACACACACACACACACACACACACATAGAGAAAGTACATGCTGTTCTTCTGTTTTGACTATTTCAATAGTCTGTGGCACAAATCTGTTGTTTTATTTGTTCTAATCTTGTTTTGTTTTCCTTCTGTGAACCTTTACAAATCTTATAATCATCTTACCATCTTTTTGGCTTTGTAAGCAACACTGTTCTTTTTGGCACACCAGTTTTCTTGGCTGGAAAATAAAAAAGATTAAAGTAAAACTAAAACAACATAAAAAAAAAAAGTAAACAAAACAAAGTTGGGTCCAAATTCTTTTGTACAAACCTCTGGGTGTGAGAGCTGTCCTCTTGAGATGATCTGTGTGGACTTTCAGAGGATGGTACAGAAGTTGAAAACCTCTCTCTTTCTCTCATGTGGCTCTGTGACTCTGGACTGTTGAGCCTTCCTTTAGCCAGTTCTCTTCATTATAGCTGCTGTCTCTATAAGCTCCATAGTCTTCCTCGCTCCCATAAGGCCCTGGGGTCAGTAATCTGCCCTCGGGCACTGCTAAGTCTCATTTTCCCCATGATAAACCAATCAGCAGGATGGCTTACAAACTCCATAAACTCCCCTGCCAGCCAAGGTGGCATCTACAGGACTCGGGCTGGGGTCACTGAAGAATCTCATTGCTTTAAAGTCAGTAGATCTGTTCCAAAACCTAGTGAGCTGCCTTGCTGTCTACAGCCTACATGGGCGGCATCTCAACTGTACAGGAGGCTCGACTCACAATTTATTTCACCTTGGGAACAAATCTTTTTGCCGTCTTGATAGGCAGCTCACTAGTTTTTGGAACAGAACTTTTTTTTTTTGAGAGAGAAAATTAGGTTGGCACTTTCAAAGCTGACAGTCTGATTTAGTACTTCGAGGGTATTACTCTGACTTTAGAGAGAACAAAGTGATAAAGAAAGCAGAGTAAAACCTATTAATCATTGTCTTTATTTCCTTTTTTCCAGAAACCTGGGGAAGTCGGGCCTGAGAGTCTCATGTCTTGGATTAGGTACGTTTATGGCCTCCTCATCAAGCCCTTTTGTGAAGTAGATAAGGAAACCTGCAACCAACAATACAAGCTTTTGTAGTCTTTTTGTCACAAGATGGATTTTCTTCAAACTGAACTGCTAGTAGTGGCAGACAGCAGAAATCTGCACCATGCAGCCAGTGTTGTTCTGTTCTCTTGAGCTGGGCATTAAAGATTATCCATGTTATCTGTAGCTTCATCTTAAGGCTTTACTCTTTATAGTGTCATTGGTGGATCACTGATAATCATTTAAAGCTGGTTTATCTTGTGAAAAGCAGTGACTGATTCTAGGTCTCTTTACAGGAACATGGGTGACATTTGGAGGACAGATCACAGATGAGGTATGATGAGTGTAAACACTGACCGGTCCTGATGCGAGCTTTTATATTCTTGTACACTTACAGGAATAGTTCACCCAAAAATGAATGTCCTTTACTCACCCTCTTGTCTTTCCAAACAACTATATTAGTTTTATTTCTTCCATGGAACACAATGTGTTTTATATTGTCAAACATTGAAAAAAATAATAATTATCAAGTGAAAATCAGACCTCATTTATTGCTCATTTAGACGCTTTGCACCAGGTTTGGTGCCAGTGATGCCAAAACATAATTGGTCTAATGATTGCAGTACAACATTGAAATGTTTTTAAATTAAACATTGTAGATGAAAAACATAATACTGGTTTAGCACATCATGATGGTTGGTAAATGATGGAATTTATGTGGAAAATAATGTGTTTTTTGAACCTTAAACCGCATAAACACATTTCATTACACCAAATACACAAAATACTGTTCTTTTTAGCAGCATCATATGACCCCTTTAAACAATGTGTCCGTAAAATGTATGAAGAAGTCTTAAATTGTCTTTTCTATTGTTATTTATAGATATATTTATTTTTATTTAAGACTGATAAACCCTTACTTAATAAATAAATATCTAAATATACCCAGATCTCTCTCTCTCTCTCTCTCTATATATATATATATATATATAGTCATGTGAAAAAGAAAGGACACCCTATTGAATTCCATGGTTTTCTGTATTAGGACATCAAATCATCTGGTAATTGGCAGGTCATAAACAAATGCCCACAAACCTCAATAAACTGGAGCAATGTTGTAAAGAGGAGTGGACCAAAATTCCTCCAGAACGATGTAAGAGACTGATAAAGTCATACAGAAAATTATTACTTCAAGTTATTGCTGCTAAAAGTGGATCTACAATTAGCTGAATCAGTGTCCTTAGTTTGACACCCATGGTTCCCCTTCAGGAACTCGAGCTGCATCGAGATTCGCTTTGGGAACTCCCCTGCGTGACCGCGTTCTGAAGCACGTGTAAAATCAGTCCATTGGAGCAGCGAGACGTCATGAGTGGGGTGACGTGAGCGCCAGGAAGTATAAAAGCGCATCCGGCAGACCGCAAGTTAGCTTCTGCTCTTCAGTAGCGCTCTGTGTATGGGTCAGTCTATTTACTGTTGTCTGTCAGTCCACAAGCATTCAAAAGAATATGTCAAAGTCTAAGCAAAAATCTATGGCGAGCGAATGGCATTACAGACGTTGTGTTCCTCCCTGCGGACGCTTACGCACACAGAGCTGCCCCGTGGCGTAAGGCAGATCAGCTTTTTGTTTGTTTTGGTCCGCCAAAGAAAGGATCTCCGGCGACCAAGCAGACTATGAGTAGGTGGGTGGTCGAGGCCATCTCACTAGCCTACGGGTCCTCTGGCCTCCCGTCACCTATGGGGGTCAGAGCGCACTCGACCAGGAGTATGGCGGCCTCCAAGGCTTTCAACTTGGGTGTGGCCTTGCAGGACATTTGTGCTGCGGCGGGCTGGTGCTCTCCGCACACTTTTGTCCACTTCTAGCCTCTTCTGGCATCTACTCCAGGTTCCCAAGTTCTCTCTTCGTGATGTGCTCATCTGATACACACACAGGCAGGCAGGGACTTGGTAGTATGGCGCAGTGGGTATTCTCGTTCCCAAAGCGAATCTCGACGCAGCTCGAGTTCCTGAAGGGGAACGTCTCTAGGTTACGTATGTAACCATGGTTCCCCGAGGGAACGAGACGCTGCGTCTCTTTGCCATACTCCCTGCATCCCTCCAGGCGCTACTTCATCGAAGCTAACTTGCGCTCTGCTGGATGCGCTTTTATACTTCCTGGCGCTCACGTCACCCCGCTCGTGACGTCTCGCTGCTCCATTGGACTGATTTTACACGTGCTTCAGAACGCGGTCACGCAGGGGCATTCCCAAAGCGAATCTCGACGCAGCGTCTCCTAGAGACGATTTTCCATATTGGCTTTATTTTTGCTAAATAGATAATGCGACGTTGTGATATGTCATGTGTTGTTCATCTGAGGTTTTATTTTGCAAAGTTTATAACTTGTATATATTTATATAATTATATAAATGTTTTCCAACTTAAAAAAAACTAAACTATTATAATATTATATTATGATTACATAGCATTCTTCCATAAATCACCATTCATATTGTGTTGATAAAAAAAAAAATGTTATTTTTCAGTGTACAGTGTAAATTACAGTGTAATTTGATTTTATAGTTCTAGATCTTATATCTTATAATTACAGTGTAATTTGAAACAACATTGTTTGGGGGAAGTATCAAGTGCAAAATGCTTTATTTTTATTTATTTATTAAACATTCAAATAGTGCATTTACAGTATAGACGCAATTTTTCTCTGCTTATACACTATTCAGCTTGCAGTAGTTTTTCTTTTCCAGCGTGCACTGTAAATGTACCTAAACACATTAAAGATGACTTATAGAGTAGCACAGTGCAGAATACAGCTTTTAATAATGGAATAGACTGCAACACCTTGAATGCTGGATCCTCTCCCTTCCTTCATTCTGACAGATTGCAGAGCAGCTGATGACTCTGGCATACGAGAATGGGATCAATCTGTTCGACACGGCAGAGGTCTACGCTGCAGGAAAGTGAGTGCGCCAAAATACACACAGCCCACCCCGTCAAATTACCACGTGCTGAAATATGTTCTTTCTGTTCATCTGGTGAATTAGTTAAGTAATGTGATATTTTAAAAAGTTGACAACATTTGCAGCCACTTTTATATGATGTTTTATTTCAAATATTAATGGTGTTTGCTTATATTTTAAATATTAGATCTAGTTGTCAGTTTTATAAGTTGTTGTTTTTTTAAAATATGAACTTTCCTCAAGTTTTCTTCAAAACTAAGGCTCATTTCAAAATGTGAATGAACATTTCTATGGCAGCTGACCCAGGGCATCGTTGGAAATGGTGTTCCTCGTCCGTGTCTTGCGTGGGAGCTTGTGTTGATCTTGTCATAACGACTCAGCACAACCCAGCAGTGCTGTTCTTGAGATCAGGGAAGGACTCGAAACTGTCATGGCGGATATCACAGTATTACTTCTAGTTGGATCTTGAAGCAATATCATCTCTTCATACAAGCGAGATTCATCAGCTGTGAGCAAGATGAAGCACAGTGATCAGTAGGATTATCTCGCTTTGACAATGAACACGGTTACATGACCTAAACCAAAACCACAAGCCACTCACTATATGGCAGTAGAGAATTAGAAGATAACAAAGAGATGTAGTTACCCAAAAATAAGATTGTAAAATACCTAAATGTTCACTTTGCTGTTTTTATTTATGTGTTAGTGACTCTGTCTGCCATATACACAAAATTTGCAATCTCAGTCTCGTTTTTGGAAGTTATGGAGATTGGGGCATAAATATGTACAGTGCACAGCATAAATGAGTACACCCCCTCTAAAACTTAACAAATTCAGCAATTACTCTTTACTTAGAAGACATGTTAAGGTTCTTTGGAGATGTAATGTTCCAACAAGCCTGCTTGATCAATTACCAAAGAAGAATGCCAAAATTATTCAGCAAAATAAGATTTTCTTATCAAAGTGATAAAATTTTATTTTCAAATTTGCCTTGCTGAAAAAAAATAAAATAAAAAACGTATTTTAAATTGTAAAAAAAAAAAAATATTTCACAATATTACAAATTACTTCTGTGATTTGGGTCAAATAAATGCAGGCTTGGTAAGCAGAAGCGATTAATCGCGATTAATCATTTGACAGCACTAATATATATATATATATAGTTTGGTATTCATACTTTTAGTTTTGGTGGCTTTATCAAAGAATGTTCTCTATATATTTTAGGGATCCTAGATAAATGATAAATCCTAGATGTTTTTTTTTTTTTTACTTTCCTTTGATGTTTAACCCGTGTTCATTGTGAACGCTGCTGCTATTTCCAATTTGAGAGATATCTGTATATCGGTGAGTTAATCTCAGATGTTATTCTTAGTGCTGAGAATCCATATTAGAGCACATTTTCCTTCCTCCAAACAAGGAAAGTTGCCTGACAAATGATGTTTCATAAATAAACTGCAAATTAGGTGAGGATAGCGGTTGGTAATGTGCTCTGTCATTAGCTGAGCGCTGGGTGTGGGCATCGCTGAACGTCGGCGGCGCTGATGGGGTGAGAGTGTGGGAAGACATGAGAGTGGGAAGGTCTGTTTTATTTATCCGATTGGAATAAATACGGCTCCGGCAGCGTCTACCATCCAGCTGCGGTCAATGCAGTGCGCTAAACCCACAGGCCGTGACGGGGACAAACACCACTGCGTAAATATAGCACCAAAACGCTTACATCCGCAAATACACTCACATGTGCTGGCACACACTTCTCTCCCTCGCACATAAGCAAACAAAAACACAGGCTAAGCTGCCCTCTCACGCGTCTGTGTCCATCTCCGTCTCTGTTCGACACGCTAACATAAGTGCACTAGCATCCATATTCAGAAATCCTCATGAAGATGAGCTGTGTTCTGCCGTCTCAGGGAACCTCCTTTGAAGTTGGGAATTTTTAAGAAAATGCAGCGTACATTCATGTGGATTAATGAACCTTTCTTTTTGCAGCTAATGACCACTAAATCAAAGCACAACAGCTAGCATTCAACAGCTTTCTCTTTTCATATAAAGCCTGGATCATTGTGAAACATAGAATCAATCAAGATTAAAGATGTTCATCCATCTTTGTGATAGATTGATTAGTTTGTTGGACTTGCACAACTCTCTGGAATACTTGATTCTGATTGATAAGTCACAGCTTTCTGTTATCAAATATTTTTATTATAAAATATGTTTTATAATAACAATCATTTAGAATAATGTACTGTATAATAATATTTCTTTTTTAAGGATTAATACAATTTTGTTTTATTTTTTTAATGCACATAGCTGTACATATATAACATGGATTGTTTACAGTGAGCAGGTGTGCTTTATCTTATTTATTTTTTATTATTTGATGATAATGACCAGCTGACTTTCACTTGTGTGCAATGCAAAAATTGCATGTCTTATATTCGCTTTTGGACCTTTTCTTTCATTAATTTACTTAGTTAAAAGACTTAGAAGTTTGGTATTTTCCCTTATATTTCTATTTAGCTTTAGTCAATTTTTATTTTAGTTTTAGTTATTTTATTAAACATTGTTTATTTCAGTTACTTGCCAAGGCAACATTTCTAATTTATGTTGTGTGTGTGTGTTTTACGTTGTTTAAGTTTTCATCTAATATTTATATTTTGTATTATTTCAGCTTTATTTCAATTTACAAAAACATTTTTAATAGTTTTAGATTTACTTAAATCAACACTGCCTTATGGCACAACTAGTAAAACATTTCCACCAAACTTTATTGTTAAAAGGTTCATTCACGCAACAGTTAAAAATGTCATTACTGAACTATAAGATCAACCCCCATTTTGTTTCCTTCTGTGCATTACAACAACAAAAAAAATCACACTGCTGGTTTCCATTTAATGAGACTGAATGGGGAAGGATATTGTTGAACTTTAAGAAGAACATTTGCTGTTTTTGGAGCGTGACAGCGTCTTGCTTCATTCACTTTCACTAAATGAAAAAGAGCAGCACTGAAGAGGAGAAGCAAACTCAAGGGGTTTGGAGCAAAATAAGGATGATTTTCATTTTAAAGTGAAGTATTCCTTTAACATTCTTTGTCTTCCCATAAGATGCCATACTAGGAAAAAACAAGATTGCAGAAGGATTTTTATAGAGATTAATAGTGAAGCAGTAAATTACAGCACAGCGGTTCATAATTGACTAGTGTGCGGCCTGAGGGAGAATCTCACTCACCGGGACAATCACAGCCTGAACTGTATCCTCATTGGGCTCAATTAGCACCCTCAGCGTCACTAATGGCTGCCAGAGAGCATTTTAGTCTCCAGGCTGTTGCTGACACTTCTCCTCATCTGCGTATGAAAAGGAGGCACATTTTTCAGGAAGTTAAATATGCTTTTAGCACCCAGGTTGTGTTAATTACTCATTCCCATACCTTACCGCTTTAAAGCAAGACACTACAGGCTAAATCCTTTTGAAATTTTGGCCTATTATATATTTGGCTATAATGTATTGTTTCAGACTAGAAAAAAGAAAACATCCAAAATACACATTTAAGTATTTATTTTATTGCACTTTATCCATTTGTGTCTGTAGATTTCAATTACAGTACATATCTTTATAGGCTGTTTTCTCAAAATGAGTTTTTCCCTCTACACCAACAGTGTAGTTGTATTTAATCTATATTTTGAAGTTTGTTTTCTTGGCATTTTTGATTTAGTCTTAGTCTTTATCTTGAGACGAAAATGCTTAATAGTCTTAGTCACAATTTAGTCTTTCATTAGTCATTGAGTCTAGTTTTAGTCAACGAAAAGTCATTGCATTTTTGTCAACTTTTAGTCATTACTTTTAGTCAAGCTGCAGTTACCAACATTTATTTTGGTAGCTATTTTATAGTCTTCAAACAAAAATAGTCATTAATTCTTCTCTCTTTAGACTAAATCAATTAAACTTATGAGAAATTTGAATCAAGAATTGAATTTAGAAAAACTTGAATAAATTATGACAATTTTCATTTTTGGGTGAACTATCCCTTTAACAGTAGTAAAAAAAGGAGCAACTTATAAAAATTATCGTTGTTCATATATAATATATTTAATATATATAATTTATAATTTTTGAAAAAGAAGCCGAATAAGACAAAAAAACAAATACGAAAGAGATACAAATTAAACAAATTTTTCAGATACAGGAGGTTTACTTAAAATATTTATTTAACATCTTTTGTCTGTTAACATTAATGACACGGATAGGTAGGCCTACTAAATTAGGAATGCTGTTCCTTTAAGACGGAAGGCATGCATGTAATACTGACACAAGTTCAGTTTTCACCCACCTTTTTACGTTCACTTAATCCATAACTGTATTTACGTGAGATACTCTACACGATAGACATTTGGACTGCTGTGTCTCTATTTGAGCACTGAGAACTGATCGCGCGCTGTATATGAGAACTGAAGAAGTGGAGCGTGCGCGCAAGAGAGCACTTCTATCAGCGCGATTCCGCCTATCCCGCCTTCACTAACTTTAAGTTAATCGACAACGAATTGTGACTCCAGGGACAAACGGGACATCTGGTCACCTTATCCCCTACCCTTTCGGTGCTAAGGCCATTGTTTCAGATCGCTAGTTCGCATTTTGGTAGTCTATTTATCCACTGCGGCTGCCATACTGAGACTAGATATGCAAACGCCCCTTATATCCGATTGCAATCCAATGACAGGGACGCACATTTTTAAGGACAAGACCGTAGCCTATAGGATGTATTTTGAATGTCAGGTAGTCCTCAAATAACATTATAGTCCCGTCTCGTCTCATTAATGAAGAGGCGGCATAAATTTCGTCATAGTTTTTATCATCAGATATTAGTTTTAGTTCATCAACGTCTCGTCTTCATCACAGAAAAAATGTTTGTTAACGAAGACGATGATGAAAAATATTCATTAACGAACATTAACACTGGTTCATATATAATTTGCCTGATTTTAAACAACGTTTTATTCCTAAAAATATCAAATTATATTTGTATGGCTGTTGACTGTATTTTCTGATGTATGGAGTGAAAAAAGTACATGCAAATTAGTTTATATTTAATTTGATTAGCCTCGTTTGCATATTTAAACATCAAGGGCAGATTTACTAAACGGCAAATTAGCGCTAGAGCGCAATTCCATAAAAGAGCCGATGGGAAGGGAAATTCTGCACATGATTTACTGACAATGCGCACATTAAAGAACACAGACACAGCCAGATCATTATATAATGACCAGCGCAATCTACCAAGAGCAGCGCAAATTACAGCCTGCTTTAAGACATGCTTTTTTGGGCGTTAAATAATGGCGCAAATACCAGTAATTTGACTAGTGCAAACGTTAGTAAATCACGTTGCGTGATTCATTTGAATACTCTCCTCCCATAAATTTGGCATCTGGAAGGGAAACTCATACAAATGCATATTCAGTAAGGTCAGGTGCAAAAATAACTGAGTCCACGCCTTTTCAGTGCTAATTCTTCACTGCACGTCTTTAGTAAATCCTGACAGTACTATTTTAACGCCAAAATACGGTTTGTGCTGGCATGAGCTATTAGTAAATCTGGTCCTAAATTTAATAAAATTGTAATATAAAACAGTGTTCGTAGTTTGTAATATTATCGATCAACTGGGAAAGTATGGTGACACTATACTGAAAAAAATTTTCATTGAGCAAACGTTAGTAAATCACGTTGCGTGATTCATTTGAATACTCTCCTCCCATAAATTTGGCATCTGGAAGGGAAACTCATACAAATGCATATTCAGTAAGGTCAGGTGCAAAAATAACTGAGTCCACGCCTTTTCAGTGCTAATTCTTCACTGCACGTCTTTAGTAAATCCTGACAGTACTATTTTAACGCCAAAATACGGTTTGTGCTGGCATGAGCTATTAGTAAATCTGGTCCTAAATTTAATAAAATTGTAATATAAAACAGTGTTCGTAGTTTGTAATATTATCGATCAACTGGGAAAGTATGGTGACACTATACTGAAAAAAATTTTCATTGAATTTACTAAATTTTTTTTAAGGTAAGTGGTTGCAATCAGTTGCAATTTTAGCTACATTTAAATAAACAAATTTAGTTGACTAACTTTCAACATTTTTTTTTTTAAATGTAGCTAAAATAAATTATTTGCAACCACTTACCTTAAAAAAATTTGTATCATTTTTTTTTTTCATTGTATTGGTTAAATTTTAACAATATTCAACTGTTGTGTCTTGCTTTAAATGTTTGCATTCTCTCCAGCTGTTAGTGGAGATGTTATCCTTGTGTAACCCACGTTTTGATCATCACATATGTCACAAAGCAACCAAAAATAATTGAGCACCCAGACACCCGGAAAAGCTTTTGCCATTTATTTTGTGATATGGATCAGGCAGTCCATGAATAATCTGTTAATGTGCTGTCTGAGGTTCACTGGGAGCGTCGTAGCATGTTTCCAATAATGTGTCTGTCCATACTGAATGACGTGGCAATCAAAGCCAAATGGGACATATTGGATGATTAATATACAGCTGTTTGCATCAGAAATTTGGACCAACAAGATTTCACTGTGGGCAGGGCTACACAGGCAGTCACCAATGTAGCAAATTAGCTTAAAAGGGAAATGTATATAAATAATTACAATTAATTATGATGTGTTCATTCAAAGAAAGGTTTTCCTATGAATTAATTAGAGAAGAGTCCATTTTTATGGGCATTATGTGTCTGTTTTAGAGAGAACTGAGTAGAAGGAAGATTCTCTCTACATACTTTTAGGTCGTAAAAAAGTGTATCTGATCTGGCTGAGGGGTCCTGGTTGCCATGGTAACCAGGGGCCTGGTGTCGTGCACAGACATCCTGGCACCTAGTATGTTTATTGGGTGAGGGGTCTGTGACTATTTGTTAATCTAATGAATAACTGATTTGTTAAATCTAATGAAAAATGGTGTGTCTCATTGGTCCAAATGCTACACCAATGAGAAACAGGAAAAAGAGACAAAAAAGCTAAACATTTCTTGGTTGACAATATTATTGCTTGTTTTGTATGTTTTCATAAAAATCCTTAATAGAGTCTTGTGGCATTGAAGTGTGCTCTTAATTTGCATGTATTGTATGAAATTGCCGTCTTGAAAGAGGTGATTTACTGAACTTTGAACTGTCCCTTCAGCGGCCTGTTTTGTTGGCTGTATTTGTCAATAAAATGACGGATTAGTCCGATAACCATCTGGTTTTCTGTTGCAGGGCGGAGATGGTGCTGGGCAACATCATAAAGAAGAAAGGATGGAGGTATGTTCATTAACAGCATACAACTTTTCATTTCCTTCTGCCGCTTCTTATCTTGTGCTGATAACTCAGCCCAATGCCTCAGAGATTGTGCCACTGTAACCCCAGACAGGCAGAAATATAAATTATTAAAGCCTGGCTCACCCCGTAGATATCCCATCTAGATATTGAATTATGAAACAGTCGTATGGGTGTGTTTATTGTGCAGTTGATGTCCTGATATATGTGTGTGTAATTTAACACGAGCTAAAGGAGGTTCATGGTTAATAGAAGCCCTTTTGTTAAGATGTTTTAATTTAAAGCAGGGTGGGCTCTCACTGTTTCTGCATAATGAGATGGAAGAGTAACTGAGCTCTCTGCAAGAAAGGATCTTCACATTTGTGTGTGTGTGTGTGTGTGTGTGTGTGTGAGAGATATCGTGCTGCTTAGTCATCCTGCTAGTCAGTGTGCATCAATATCAGGGCACACAACCCCTCACCTCTGCAGAGACATAGCTTATTTCTGTCCTCTGTGTCTGTGTGTGGGCTTACTTACTTACAATTTGTGAGAGAAAGTGAGCTAAATATGACAGAACTTCCGTTTGAGGAAAGGATATTCTTAAAAAAAAAAAAAAACTAAGTGGTAGTGAATTATGTGAAAAATATGTAATCATACAATCCTTAAAAAGTAACTGTAATCTGATTATGAGCATTTTAAAATATAATATAACCGACAAGTACTTAATTTCCTGGATTCTGATTATGTAATCCAGATTACATGTAAGCAGTTACTAGTGTTTGTGTGTATATATATATTGTGTGTGTATATATACATGCATATATGCTAGGCTTGCCGTGATAGACGGTGCTAACGGTTATACCGGTGTTAAGCCGCAACACCGGTTACGTCACTTGCCCACTGCCTCACCGACCCCCACCGTCGTTTTGATTTTTTATAGTAATAAAAATCATTTAGTTCCGTTGTATTTTGTTGTTGCATTCAAGCAATTGACGCCGAACTGCCGTTAATTCAAAAGTGAAAGTAAAATGGGCACACCGCTTTTACAAGCTATTTAAAAGCGAAGGAAAGCGAGGAAAAGAGGGAACGCCCTTGCCCCCACGGTGATACCGGTATTACCGGTGTTGTCACACGTCGATTAACCGGTGGGAAAATTTCCTCACCGTCACAACCCTAATATATGCATGTAATTGCATTTATTTATGTATGTAATAACAAAATTTACATGAATATAAAATATATTTATGAACCTTTACATGAAAGCAGATGTCTGTGCTATGTCCTCATTTAGGCAGCTAAATAAACATGTATGTGTATATGTGACCATGCATTCCTTCGAAATTAAAATGGTTACCGCAAGCCACTTGGTAATTACTTTTTAAAAGCCTTTCAAAAAGTGTGACCTATTTTTTTTCTTCTTTTTTTTTTTTGCAGACGCTCCAGTTTAGTCATTACAACCAAAATATTTTGGGGTGGAAAGTATGTATGTTTAATATTTATTATAAAATGAATCATGGCATTATGCGAACAATACTTCTGAAGCTTTAATGTTACACTTGTGAGTTAATGTAGCTGTTGCTTTTTACTTCTGGTATATGAACACTTAAGTCTTTGAAATAGTGTTATATTTTGATTTGAATAAACTATTTTGGCCTCATTTCTAATATTAAACCAAGTAATGTCTTAGCAATATAATTTACTAAAGTTGGCGTCAATGATAATTGCATAATAGTACATATACTGCTGTTTTCTAGAGCAGAGACTGAGAGAGGACTGTCAAGAAAACACATTATAGAAGGTGAGTGGACCTCAAAACATACATGTTACAGAGCTGCAGCTGACATGAACTGTTTTAAATGCCTCGTTCATTCAACTAATCGTGTGCTGAATTGATTTGTGTTACTCTTCGGTAGGTTTGAAGGCATCATTGGAGAGACTGCAGTTAGAGTATGTGGACGTAGTGTTTGCAAACAGACCAGACCCCAACACACCCATGGAAGGTACATCTCAATCTCAATTAATTTGCTCTAAACCTTTAAATATTAAAGGTGACCTATTATGCCCCTTTTTACAAGATGTAAAAGAAGTCTCTGATTACCCCAGAGTGTGTGTGTGAAGTTTTGGCTCAAAATACCTTACAGATAATTTTTTATAGCTTGTTAAAATTGCCACTTTTAGGGTATGAGCCAAAACGTGCCGTTTTCGTCTTTCTCTTTAAATGCAAATGAGCTGGTGCTCCCGGAGAAGAGGGCAGAGCTTCAAGAGCTCAAGCTCCAGCAATACCGGTGCTAGCCTTTGCAAATAAACACTCCACTATTAGTATAAGCCTGTTATCTTTACAGAAAACACACTCGGTTTAAAAGTCAGTCATCTGATTGTACTGTGCATAAAAAAATGCACTTTATGAATTACACAGACGGGAGCACGACACGATAAAAATAACTCATGGTGCCATCGCATGCTATTACAAACTTTATAAGCCCCACTTGTAATTATGAGCTCGACTAATTCCAGCGGTCGACTTCACATTGCTTTCATATGCAATTTTAACTCCCACATTCCTATTTACAATCATTCTGGTAGCACGTGAAGGTAGCATCAGTAAAAACAAACAGACAATTGTAGCTTTAGCAGCATTAGCCTTACAAAGTGCAAAGAAGCTCTTTCAGAAAGGCAATTTGGAAAACTAATGCGTGATACTTACTTCTTCTGGAGGTGTAGCTGGATCACGAACAGTTGGCACTACTCCATCCTTCAGGAGCAACTTTTGTGCAAAACCTGCTTTATACTGACCCTCATTCACAAAGCAGTCCGGTGTAAAATGATTCGCGCAGACATAAACGAATATCGGTAGAGTTGAGGGAGCATTTTCTTCTAAAACAAAATTAATCCACCTTGTCTTCAGCGGCTCAGATTTCGGGAACTCGCTCAGGTCTGTTCTATGTTAAAACGGCAGTGTCTGTCAACATTCGTGGGCGGGGCCTGTGGCTAATGTGACGTCACATTAGCACCAAGTCGGAAAACAGGTAGTTGGGAGACACTGCTTATGATTTATGGGGATTAAAAAAAAAGAAGTGGATGGATTTTTATCATTATAGGGTGGTTGTGTACACACACTGCCAACACACATTTATGTCCAAACACCATGCAAAAGTGAATTTTGCATAGTAGGTCCCCTTTAAACTCTACTATAACTCATGTGCTGTTTGTGCTCCAGACTGATTCTTCCAATCATGTGCAAACCAGATCTTTGCAATTTTCCCATTTGGCCTTTTGTAAGACGCCAGCCTGAATTAAATCTCAACCAATGTTTTCGGGAGAAAGGGTGGCTGCTCTTTTAAAAGCAAGGCAGAAATGTTATTTGATCTACTTTTATTAACCTAGCTGCCCTTTAGAAAGTTCACACAGTTCAATGGTTGAAACACAAACAGCTCAGGGGTCTGTAGACATCTGCTTTTCTTGTCATTAAAGAGCTCTACACTTCAATAGTCTGCTTCTCTCTTGCGCTCTTAGACAGATCTCATATAGTCAAGCGAGAGCAGTAAATGACTCTCAAGCTCATAAGACTGATGTTTTGACACGGCTGGTGTTGGTTATTAAGGATGGATCTTTTCCAGCCCTCATTTGAAGTTTTTTTTTTTTCCCTTGAGCCGAGGTTGATATTGACCCGAAGCACAAGTTGTTTATTTTGTCTTACTTGTATTGATTCAAATTCTTCAGCTCGATCCAGAAGCGATTTATCATTTAAACTCCCCTCCCTTGCATTAATCGAGCTTGTTTTCTTTTGCTTGTTAATATTTCACACGTTCACCCGTACCGACACATTCTGATGGCAGCGTGATATGATGTATGGTGCTGTAAATCTCTGAAAATCTGCGGTCTGATTGGCAGAGACTGTGCGGGCGATGACCCATGTGATCAATCAGGGAATGGCGATGTACTGGGGAACGTCACGCTGGAGTCCGATGGAAATCATGGTGAGTCACAGTCTCCTAACTTTTCGATGTTTGCACCCCTGTAATCAGCTTCGGCACCGGCTGCTTTTGTTCCTGAAGAACTCTTGATGAATCTAAAGATGCTTCTGTTTAAATAGGTGCTGTCAAGTGAGACAGTCTAACCTTAAATACTGGGCGGATCGGACATCTAAAACAGCACCGCACTGAGTCAGACAAAACGTTCACTGACAGAATGTTGAAAGACGATCTGTTGTTTGTGTTCAGTGATGCCTCGTCAGTCACAACTCATTTGTCTAGTTATGCGTAACATGTTGTACAGAATTTGGTTTTCTTTCCCATCGCCCAATAATTGAGTCGCGTTAACTGATAATGTTCCACCATTTACCGAATTTTACATGGACAGATAATTCGAAAAGCGTTCTGTTGTTTTGACAGAAGAATCCAAGTGTAGTCTAGGGGAATTTTGTTTATTAAATCGGGTGACCTGATTGCAAGGCTGCAGTGAATGATTTTTCATATTGTGGGAGCAGGGAGGTTTGTATAGATTAATGTCACTTTATAATTATCATTGTTTTACTAATCAGTGACATGATAATTGTCTTATTTGTTATAGATGCAGTGATTTAAATTTGACTTCTCAAAATCAAATGTTTTTAGTTTTTTTAATAAATTAATGACAATTATCAGTACGTTATTTTAGTTGTTTTTATCTATTTTATGACTTGTCAAGTCCAGATATTTATAGATTAAAACTTGATAATTATATTGACCTTAGATTCAAAGATCTCATTCATAAGAGTCATTTGTTCATAAAACAGATTCAAAGACCTGGCTCAAAGGAGTCATTTGTGTTAAAGCGTCTTATTTTAGTATCATAGAGATACTATTATATATATTTTTTGTATTTTTTATTTTAGTTTTAGTTAAAGCTTTAGTATTTTTTGTGTTTAGCATTAAATTTTTTAATGTCTATATAGATTTTTAGTTTTGTATAGAATTTTAGATTTTTTTTTTGAATGCCTATAGATTTTTATTTTGGTTTTAGTTCTTTTAGTACAGTACATAACGTTAAACTAAATTATGTATAGACGGTTTCAAAGTCAACAATATAAACAAACGTTACTCCGCATGCACGCTTTTGTGGCCCAAACTTAACTTCCAATAGACTTCCGCAAAGAATCAATAACAACAGCAAAGTCCCTCTAGAGTAGATTATTTCTGATAACAAGCAAAGTATGTTTTCTGCGTAAAACAGACGGGCTGATTTGAAAATGCAAATTCATTCTCTGCCAGCAGGAGGAGCTTTTGGAGCAGCAGAGATGGAGGTTTCCCCGGTAACGGCTGTACACAAAGCAGCGCTCCGCTCACAAACACTGCTTTATCAGGCATTACATGCAAGATGAAATGAAAATGACATCGGAAATTTTCTGAAGGCAGTCGGTTTCCTTCAGAGATACAGTGATATAAAAACACCCGTGCCACGTTTTGATTTTGAAATGTGCAGTGCTCATGTTTATTCAACGAAGTCAAAGCCTTTTGGAAAATCTTGTGGTGGTCAGTTTTGATATTGTGACGGGCCGCCACAAATAAATCAATGTATGGGAAACACATCCCACAGTACAACAACCTGAGTCCAACTTCAGTCTACTCATCACCTTAACTTTAACTGCGTTTGTAGTCAGCGCCACTAGCCAGACCGATAAACAAACACAGAACAGGAAGTTAACCGGAAGTTCCCCTATTATTTTAGTTAAAGTTTATTTGAGGTAACATAATTTTTTTTTTTTTTTTTTTTTCCTTTCATGGTTTTAGTTTTTGTTATCTATAATAACCCTGAGTTAAAGAACTTTCTCATGGACAAAGACATTTTTTTGTGTTTGTGAATTGTTGTCCATTTTGCGTGTGTGTGTGTGTGTGTGTATATTATAAGTTGTTTTCCCTCCCCCATTACATTAATTTCAGACTAAAAAGTTGCAGTTGATGATTTACAGTTTAGTTTCAATACATACATGGTCCAGATGGACTGGGGAGGGAGTGTTTAATTTTGTCACACATTTCATCAAAAAAGAGCAAGCGAAATCCCGTTTTCCATGATTTGACCTTTTTAAGTTCAGTTTTGGCTCAGGTGGCGCTGCATTCATACGTAACACTAACCTTATCATTTTGCTTGTGTGTTGTAGGAAGCGTACTCTGTGGCCCGACAGTTCAACCAGATCCCACCAATCTGCGAACAGTCGGAGTATCACATGTTCCAGAGGGAGAAGGTGGAGGTGCAGCTTCCCGAGCTCTTCCATAAGATCGGTGAGTGATGCTGCTGTCGCTCAAGCCACAGACACACTCACCAGATGCATCTTTTCAATGGGGTTTGACCTGTCTTCTCAGGTGTGGGTGCGATGACATGGTCCCCGCTGGCCTGTGGGATAATCTCAGGGAAATACGACAGCGGGGTGCCGGCCTACTCTCGTGCCTCACTGAAGGTACTACATATCCCATGAGTCTCGCTGTCTCCTCCTCCTCTTCCTGGTGGCCTCATATGTGATTCCTTCGTGTTTGGTGTTCTAATGTGAATGTGTTCCGTGTCTTCCAGGTTCTGTAGTTGGTGTTTTCCTGTAGATGTGTGTGTTGTTGATGGCATGAATCCACACGCCTGATCTTCAACATATATTTCTTTATGTGAATGCGTTTCTATGGTAACTCTGAGGAGGATTGGCACTTGTTTTATCAGTGTTTCCATCTCTTTCAAGCACACTAAATCACACACACAAGTGCACACTAAAAGCACCCCAGTTTCCCGAGCTCTATGTTGGCGTAGTCGCATGTTTTTGGCTCATTGGTGTTTCTGTGACCCATCATCTTCCTCCTGTAGTCTTGTGTCACACTGTTGATCATTCCTGATATCTTGTTACCTCTGTGTAACGTACATGTGGATTGACACTTGACTATAACAGAACCGTGCTGGTGGTCTGAACAGTGATGAGTCCGTTGGATTTGGAGACCCATGAGTGTTTAGATCACTAGACCACACTGGTCCTTTTCCACTGTTAATTCACCAATGATGGACCTGAAGCTGGATTATTTATCCTGCTCTAGCACAGACACAAACATGCTTTTGCTAGTCAGTGCAAATGATAGGTTTTACTTTAAAGTCAACATGAAGTCCAAATTTACTAGAATCTGACATTTACTTAGCCAAGCCGTTCACTTAAGCCAAGCAAACTATTGGTTAATCGGTTGGTTAGCCTATAGTAAAATAGCTATTTAGCCTGTTTCAGTGTTATTTTAGTAGTATTTATATACTACTATAGTAGTTATTAATATCTGAATTAGCTTTTATTTTTTTATTTGTGTGTGTGTGTGTGTGTGTGTGCGTGCGTGCGTGCGTGTAATTTCTTTAATTATATTATATTTTCAGTTGTCATTTTAATTTAGGTTTTGGTTACTTTGATTATATGCTTCTGTCATTTTTTTAAATATTTCTTTTACATTTGTTTTTATTTCAGTTTTACTTAGCTTAACTTTTTTTTTTTACTTGTAGTGACTTTTTGGTGACTTTTAATTTAACATCTGTTTTTTTCTCAAATTGTTTGATGTGTATATAGATTTTAGTAATTTTTATTTAGGTTTTAGTTCCTTTAGTACAGTACATCAAGTTAAACTAATTGAAAATGAGATGTTGCAACTAGCTGAAGTAAATATGTGTGTGTGTGTGTGTGTGTGTGTGTGTGTGTGTGTTATTAATTTCTAGTATTCTAGTATATTTTTAGTAAGTTTCTAAGTTTTTAATTTAACATTTCTATTTTTTTCCCAAACATTCTTCAATTTTCTTACGTTTTAGGTTTTTGCTCTAGTATTTATATCTTATTTTATTACAGCTTTATTTAACTCTTTCCCTGCCAAACAGAATTTTCCGGGTTTCAGTGTTTTCACTGTTATACGCTCAGGGGCGCTATTACGCATCTCCTGAATGAGTCTAGAAAGTGCCGATCAAAAACACAGTATCAACACTAACCGCATATAAATGAAAACTGCCTAATGATACAGAGTGAAATATCAATCCAGAAAGAGGCCTGTGCAACTACTGTGCAAGCCATCTACTATATCTTTGCTTTGATAATATTACTGAATATGATCCAGATATAGTATTTGATAAAAATTTGATTTTCTCAGCTTTTTGCTCAAAATGTTGCTCTTTTAATGAAACCTACCTACATTCAAGTGTTGCAAAAACAAGCTTGAAGCTAGAATAAAATACTTTTTTGTTTGAAAGTAGAGGGTCTGATCTTTATTTTGACATATTGCATGTTCAGATATTCATACTACAAAATATTCTGGGGGTCATGAAATTTTAGTGAAAATCAGCAAAATCGCAGGCGGTGGCTGGCAACCTTTTTCAAAAACGCTGGCGGGGAAAGAGTTAATTTAATAAATTATAAAAATTCTAAAATTCTTCCTTGAGACTTTAAAAAAAATGTATTTAAAAAAAAAAAAAAAAAAAAAGACCAGTAACTTTTTTAGGCTACTATAGGTAATTCAACCTTTCTAAGACATTGCCGTTTAACAGTAATTTATTTCTGGTTAATGTGAATTCAATAAAGATGCAACAATAATATCTATTATAATAAGATTTAAAAAGAAATGCTACCATTGGGATACACGGAGATGCTGTTAATTTCAATTATGAATGTTCATTCACATATTTAATATGCATATTAAATCATATTCAGTCTTTTCTCTCTGAAATATGCCGCATTACCAAATTCAATGAGTTGCAAATGTGTTTCATGTTGACTTTAAATTGACAGTAATGTGTAATTTTTAGCTAATCAACTGAAAAAAAAAATATTTGAATATATACCTTAAAATCATTCATACTACATTTTTACTTCAAACACAGCTTTCTCAGAAGTCACTTCAAACTGATCATGTTTGTGAGTGTGTGTATGAGGTCTCTTTACCCCCTAAAGTTCTCCGAGCGAGTTCATCTCTGCTCATTTGAGCTTTTGGGCGGACAGAGTCACGTGTTTAAAAACAGGCCCTCGCTCACACAGGTGCTGCTGGGTGTTATGCGTCCGAGAGCGTGTGTGTGTGTATGTTGTGTGTGTGTGTAAGTGCACCACTGTAGGCGTGGGCCCCTGTTTTTGAGCAGGTGTGCTGTGTTGTTAACAGGGCTACCAGTGGTTGAAGGACAAGATCTTGAGCGAGGAGGGCCGACGCCAGCAGGCGAAGCTGAAAGAGCTGCAGGCAATCGCTGAGCGGCTGGGCTGCACGCTGCCACAGCTAGCCATCGGTACGCCTAACCCAAAGACACACTGCCGCTCTCTCTCTTTCTGTCTGTCTGTCCGTCCGTCCTGTGCCTCGCTCATCCTCTCCCCCTCTCATCCTCCCCTTCCTCAGACCGCCGGAGCGGAAGCGTCTGTCCGTCTGCGGATGGCTTCACCAAACAAATGCGATTAGTTTGTGGCTGTTAATGGAAGAGTGTTCCTCCCAGCATCGTATTCTTGCTTAAGTGTAGGGATAAATATAATAGTTTAAAATCGATTTTGTATAGTGTTTTATGATGATCAGTGTGGTATCTGAGATGGGAAGTGTTGTGTAATGCTTTACAGAGAGAATGGAGTGTAACGTTTCAAAGAAATATGTGCTGTACGATCTAGAGCGAAGGCTTTTATAAGGACTGCGACGCTTTGATTTAAGTACATCCTTTCAAAGTACAGTAATCTAATCTTGAGAGCTGAGAGCTCGTGATCACGGTCTGCTGCACACCGTAATAGTCCAGTTAAAGGAAAAACCATCAGATACAGACACTCAAAGTGTGCGTGTGCTAAGACTAGGGGTGGGCGGTAAGACCAAAATCTTATCACAAAGCAATTTTATATCACTGTAATGGTGTGTAACACAATATATTATTTATTTTTGTCTGAAATTTAACAAAAACATAATTTATGTATCAGACAGCTATGTGGTCATATGTTTTGCTTATTTAATTATTGAATTTTATTTTATTTTTGTATCAGTTACTTTTATTAGTAATTATTTTATCAAAAATTATATATAACAAATAACCCTGAAAAGGAATGATTATTATTATTATTGTATCAAAATAGTTATTTAGAACAAATAATGAAAAAATAATTATTTTATTATTTTGTTTGTATTTTATTGTTAATTATTTTATCAAAAGTTATTTATAACAAATAATCCAAAAAGTCTTTTATTTTTTTTATTTTTAAAAATTTTATTTTATTTTATTTTAGTAATTATCTCATCAAAATCATTTATTTAAAAAAAGTAATTATTTTATTGTATTTTTAATAGTTATTTTCATCAAAAAAATGTTTATAACAAATAATTCTAAAAAGTTTTTTTTTTATCATTCGTTTGAAATAATTATTTGTAAAAAAAAAAAAATCTGGCATTTGTGCAAAAACTGCTTCACATTTTGAAACACAGCAAGCAAAACAGTAAAACTTATTCTTTAGAAGCTCATTCTTCTTTGTCTTAGCTTGTTTGGTCAGGTCCCACTCTGTATTTTCGCATTACTGCGTGTTTCTTCATCGCTCTCACTGACTTAAATTATGACTTGAAGCAGTCCTGCTCAATCGTAACCCCACAAATGTGTCTACCGTGATATAAATGGTATAGCAGCACACATTACTGTCGTCATACAGTCTATACCGCCGTCATAGCACCCACCCCAGTCTGATACCCTTCATAACTCAGATGCATAAAGTTTCAGGAAGTCCCTCATCTTCCCGACCTCATAAAAGTCATAAATTGGCAGCGTGTACGTGACAGCACACCCTCTGTGATTCATCGACTGCGGGACGCTGGGGAATAAAAATCTTGACAGGACCTCAATCCCCAAAGCAGCGGCCGATAGAATCACGTCCCCTTCCCTCACCTGTCCTGTAATGCAGTCGTACATTACATTTCACACATTTCACACCTCATTAGTGGGTTGCCAGCCCCTCCCAGGCTGTGCAGATCCTTCTTCCCCCGCACAAGCGCCGGTACACAGCCACCGCTGCTCATTTACACCACCGCCAGTGTGTTTTAAAATAGTGCTGTGGGTCAGATCTGCTGTCAGAGTTAATGAACTGCGCACGCATGCAGATGATTTTGAGGGATGACATCATAGTGTGTTAATTAATAAAGTAGCTAAACTGCAGTGAAGCTTCTCTTTTGATAAAGCTGTTGCAGCAAGTTACTAACAAAAGGAGCTAACTACATTGACATTTTTTAACAAATAATTAAAGATAAAAATAAGTAAAAACAGTATTTTTACTACTATATGAAAAAAGAGTATTATATATATATACACACTACCGCTCAAAAGTTTGGGATCAGTAAGACTTGTAATGTTTTTTTAAAGAAGTCTCTTATGCTCATCAAGGCTGCATTTATTTGATCAAAAATACAGAAAAAAACAGTAATCTTGCAAAATGTTATTACAATATAAAATAATGATTTCTATTTTAATATACTTTAAAATATAATTTATTTCTGTGATTTATTTTTAATTTATTATGTGGTAATTTTCAGCATCATTACTCCAGTCTTCAGTGTCACATGATCCTTCAGAAATCATTCTAATATGCTGATTTATTATCAGTGCTGGAAACTGTTGTGCTGCTATATATATTTTTTGGGAACCTGTGATACTTTTTTTCAGGATTCTTTGAATAAATTATATTTTAAAGGATATTAAAATAGAAACTATTATTTTAGTAAGTAATAACATTTTGCAAGATTACTGTTTTTTCTGTATTTTTGATCAAATAAATGCAGCCTTGATGAGCATAAGAGACTTCTTTAAAAAACATTACAAGTCTTACTGATCCCAAACTTTTGAGCGGTTGTGTATATATACACACACACGCACACAAAAAATAAGTACTTGTAATTGGATTAAATTACGTTTTAAAATACTCATAATCAGACTACAGTTACTTTTTTATTTATTATTTGATTACATATATTCACACAATAGCAATAAATTATTCATAATTTATGGAGTCTCCCTAATTATTTTTCAATTTTCAATTTTCCTTTCTAAAATGCCTACATAACATGCAGGTACACAATATATTTCATTTTTTTGAAAGTGTTTTATTTTGACTGTAAAATTATTTTAATTTGACATTTTTATGATTTAATTAATTATTAGCTTTTCATTAAACTCACAATGATTATAATTTTGTAAAATGATGCACTTGCACTATTATTAAATGAGATACTTTTATAGTTTTTAGTTTGACTATATATTTTGACTGTATATTTGTGTATTTTGCCATTTTCATTAAATATTAATTAAAGCTGTAGTCATTTTATTGTGTTTTTGTAATTTTTATTAGGTTTCTTTTAATACATTATTTCTATTTTAGTTTGAATTGTTTTGGTAATTCAACAGAAACTAAATGAAGTGTTGCATTGGCAACTAGCTGAAATAGTTTTATATATGTTTTATAGTTATATATATAGTTTTACTTTTAATAATAACCCTAGTTGAATAACCCTGATTGAAATTAACGATCAAAGTGAATCAATTCACTCATGAATTTTTGCCTCAACTCACTGATGTGCAATACATTGTGACATAAAACTAATGTAGTGTTTTATCAAATTATACCACTAAAAAATATACTAGAAAAGTAGTAATACAAATTGGAAGAAATAGTAAAATCACTATATTTAGTTTTCCCCAACACTAGTTAATGATTTTCCTTTGTTACAGTTTCGGCATGATTGTATTCCATATGCACTACCCTTCTGTGTGTGTGTGTGTGTGTGTTCAGACAAAGCAATCTGTTGGGGGTAAAGTACTAAAATCTATTAAAATCCGCTGTCGATTTACCCAGAACATCAGAGCTGAATGCTTCATATCATTTGCAGCGTTTGACACAGTGTTGCCTTGAAAAATATGAACACGCTTCCAAATGGCCGCCGTATTACAGGCACACACACACACACATAGCAGTACAGTAAACACACTGCAGTGCCAACACACCGTGCCACAGATGGCACACACACACTCACGCACGCACGCAAACAAACTCCCAGGAGGGATTCAAATCCCCACAGAGTTTCCTTCCGGTCTGTGTGTGGCGGCGGTGTTGCATGGACCGTGTTTAGGGAACGCCAGCGGTCAGCATGGCTCCTCTACACCTCCTCTGCACTCCTGCAGATATCGCTCGTCTTCCTGCGAAAAAAAAAAAAAAAAAAGCTCGCTCAGCTCTGATTTTGAGCTCGCTCAGTGTGTCCTGGAGCCATGGTAACAGAGTGGTCTGATAACTGCTGTGTGTTTGGTGAGATGTTTCAGTATGTGTAGGAGTGGGAGAAGTAGATGCTTTAATTTAGGAAATGGCTAAATTTGTATATACATATACATGTTTTGTTTTAAATAGAACATTTATCTTTTTGTGATGGGTAGGTTTTGCTTTAAGAGTGTGTCATGTGTTGTGTATGATGTTATTTATGCTGTATGTTCAACATATTTGCTGCTCGTCTCCAGCGTGGTGCCTGAGAAATGAAGGTGTGAGCTCTGTGCTCCTTGGAGCCTCCAGCACGGATCAGCTCATGGAGAATATAGGAGCAATACAGGTGAGGATGCATATGTGCATGTGGAAAGTGTCAATCAAATGCTAAGCCCCGCCTTAAAATCATTATTGACCAATCCCAGTGTTGCTGCCATATAGAGTGCTCCAGTTTCATTGGCTTTTCTGATCATTGCAAAAAATTAGCTCTGTGACCAACAAAAGTTAATTCTTTAGGGATGCAAAATTCCGGGAAACTTTCCATGGGACTTAACGTGAATTTTAAATTTTAATCACCTGCACAGATAATTTCTAGAAGCCTGCACACTACAGCAGGTCTATTAAAGCCACACTACTGTATTTGAGCCCAGCAAACTACATCCAGTCAAGTAAGTTTTGATGATATTAATAGGGTAAATATGTTTGATCTATGGTATTGAAGTTTAACTCGCGAATACTAAATCACAATGTTTTTGCCAGTAAATCAGATATTAGGGCCCTATGAAATCCATTAAATTTTTTCCCAAATTCCATTTTATTTTTCCAAGTTCCGTTTTTTTTTTTTTTCCAGTTAAAATTTTTCTGGATCCTGTTTTAATTTGTCTAGACTCTGCATGTCTAATTGATGGAAATCATGAAACTCACAATATTAAACATTAGAAGTTTAACGAAAAATTACATTTTAAGGCCCTATGAAATATATATATGTTCATTCTTTTTTCCAGAAATATTGTGTTGTGTATTTACATTTTTCTGGTAAATGTTCCTTTAAAAATAATGTTTTAATAATAAATTAATTAGTAGTAGTAGTAGTACTATCATTACATTAAGTAATATAATTCTGTCACAGTTTCTTCAAGTTAAACCAAACTTTTATTTTGACGGGCTGCTGTGAAAACCTTTAGATTTCTGCCAGTATATATGACGATAGTTTTACTCAAAAGAAACGGTAAAATGCTCATGACCTGACTCTCACAGCAGTTCTAGAGATTATGTTCATGTGTTCATGTACTCATATTTTGAGGTAGCAGAGACTGAAAACAGCGATCGGTATGTGTGTAGTAAACGAAACCATGCATCTGCATCAATTATTCACACAGAGACACGCAGAACATGCAGGATTCATTGGTATGTTTGTGGCTTAATATTCACAGACACTAGTCCATATCACCTTTTCATTTAAGTGTACTGACAGACCTACTTATGTATCCAACCAAAATTTGGCAAATTCCATGTCATTCTGCATTATACAGTAAATTCCGTTTTTATGACTAGATTCTGCTATTCCGTCCGC